ATAACATAGGTAATAAAGGATTTATTGGTGGATTTAAAAGGTTAACATGACTAAATGGTTTTTAAGTCCACTTAATGGGACTGGCCCATGATTATTCCTTATTTTTTTAAGAGAAAATTGTTGAAAAGTCTAATCTAGCAATTACGTAAGGCGTTAATCTAGTGGATATTTTTTATTAGTTAGAAGTTCATCTTTTGTGAAATAGTTTAGTAAGAAGTTCTTTTGTTGTTTTAGAGGATATTTTATTCATAATTTTATCCCTTAATTTATCTATTGAATTTTTTTGCTATCTGTTCAAATATTTTTTATCTGTTCAATTTTTTAACTATTTGTTCAATTTCTTTTACCTTATCTATCCAATTTTATTATCAATTCAATTTTTCACTTATTTGTCCAAATTCTATTATCTGTTCAATTTTTTCCCCCTAAATGCTATTTGTTGATTTATTTATTTATTTATTTATTTTGTTTATTCAAATCTTTGTTATTTAAATACACCAAGCCACTATCAATTCAAATTTTGAATAGTTCAATAATAATTTTTTTTATTTGTTCACTTTCAAATTTTTTTGTATGTTCACTGATTGAAGAACACAAGACCAAATTGAATCTTTCTGTCAAAAATGAAAAACACAAGACCGAGCTCTCTCTCTCTAATTTGGGCTCCCTCTTTTAGATCCAAAACCCTAATTCTCAACCCCCACAACAACAACAAAGAAAAAAAAATATAATCAGATCATTAACAACCACAATTCAGATTAAAAAAAGAAAAGAAAAAAGAAAGTAGATCTATATTACATTTGTGTTGGATCTGTGTTCAAATACAACATAATTCAAAGAAATAATGAGAAACACACAAAATGGATTGATTTGAAAAAAGAAAGACTCTTTCAAACGAAATGGGCACCCCAAAGTGACTAAAGAATTAGGGAGAATTCTAGAGAAAGATAAAAGGAGATGAAAATGAGAGGAGAGAGTTCTAGGATGTCGTTCACAGCCGTCGCTCCCTCGCTTTTAGTATCAATGATGAAGAGATGAGAGACACATTAATATTGTTTCGGATTATGCGTTGTTCTCATGTCGTCGTCATCACCAGGGACACATTCTCTTCATCTTCGAAAACCTTTGCCTTCTCGAACATACTACTATCTCACGACGTCATTCAAGAATGCCTGTACCACCACACTTCTCTTTCTAGCTCTGGTCATCCTCCTCACTCGCTGCCGTTGACATCGGCTGCAACCACACTGCAGATCATTTACCAGCAACAAATTTGTGAGGCTGAGACTAGGGGTGCAACGTGAGCGGGCTCAACCCGAGCAACCCGAGCTCAGCGTGAATTTTTTAGAGCTTGGACAAAATATTTTCAAATTCGATACAAGCTTGGGCAAAGATGTCAAACAACCCGAGCAACCCGAAGTCCGAATTATACATATATAGATATATAAAAATATTAAATATACATATAAATTATTAGCCATTACATGATATTAAAGTAATTTATATTATTAAATCATATTGAATATGTATTATATATACAAATAATATAAAATCTTACTTTTTTTTCTTTTTATTTTCACCCATAAATTGTAAAGATTACTATAGTAGCATCTCTCTTACATTATATACAGTATTTTGTTTTGATGGTATTAATGATTTTCTATAAATAAAAAAAAATTGTAAATAGAGTCAAATTTTAATAATTTAATAATGTAGCTAAAAAAAAAAAAAAAAAAAACTGAAATTCATTTACAATTCAGGCAATTCGGGTTTAACTTGGGTCGGGCTTGGGCAGACAACCTCGGGTTACAATTCGGGCTTGGACAGGTCTCAGTACAACTTAGGTTGGGCTTGGACAACCTCTCAACCCGACCGAACCCGCCCGAGTTGCACCCCTAACTGAGACGACTGATGAGGTAAGAGAGAGTCGATTTGGAAAAAGAAAAAGAGAGAGAGTCGATTTGGGAGGGTTGATGAGAATGTATATGATATATACCTGGGGTAGTTTATGTAACAATCTATTCTAGGTGATTGTTCGAGCAGTCAATCGGTCAATCAAGCGATGATGAAAAGTTCCTAGTATATTGCCCGTTTGTAGGTGAGACCGCTCAAGCGCTAAAGTAGTCGCTCTAGCGTAGAAATGAGACTCCCAGTATTTTCACTGTAGCTCTGCAAAACTTCTGAGACCCTACATTTACTGCTCAAGCGGTGGAAAGTTTGCTCGAGCGGTCTCTTTAATTTTGTGTACTTTGCTCGAGCAGTGAAAAGTTCGCTCGAGCGATTTGTTCAGGACAACACATTTTAAAGTTGATCTAAACCCATTTCTCTCACACTTTTTCACATATTTTCTCTCTCTAACACCCATTTCTGAAACTCTTACAAACTCTAACCCATTTCTCTCTCCAACACCCATTTCAAATTATCAATTATAATTTGATAATAGAGTTGTATTTTGAATTTATAAGTTTTGGAATTATGATTTGAGTGTGAAAATTTTGTTTAGTTTTGAGTTTTGTAAAGAGTTTTGAATTGAGTTTGAAATTTTTGATGTGGCATATGATATTTGATTCAAAATTTTACAACTCATAACCAAACATACAGCTCAAAATTCTATTCAAAGCTCATAAAAAAAATTTTAAAAATCAGAAAATATTTTTATTTAAAATATTAAAATAACAGGTGCCAAAAAAAAAACACGAACACTGCTCTGGTCAATCGGCCAGATGTCCAGGAGGACGTTCGGGAGGATGACCGAGTAGACGTGTTTTCATAGATGGGTGTGGAATCAATTTTTGAAATTGTAACCAAACACATGGCTCAAACTAAGGGGTGAAATTGAGTTTGGAAAGCTTAATCAAACACACCCTTGATTTCTTATAGTTTTACTCAAGATTCGCCCTAGATCTTCAAAGAGGGTTGAAGAACAAGCTAGATTTTGGTTTGGAGCTTAGAGTTGGGTCTTCATTCCTTGTTTTTAATCTTGAGGTAAGGATACTTTTAACTTGTTGTATCTTTGATTTGATACACATATGTGTTATTTTCATTAGTTATCAAGATTTAAGAAATGCATTTGTGTTACAAAATGATTTCGATGAAAAAGGGGCTATACCTCCTGATTTTTGGAAGAGTTTATGCACATTTTTTATGATTATTGTTGTTGATGATGAGGATTGGCCTAATTTTCCTAAAACCCTAGTTTTCAAATTGGTTCAATAAAGGGGATTTTGTTCAATTGACTCTTGAATTTTGAAATTGGGTGTAGTGGCTTGACTTTGATGTTGGAATATGAGATTTTGAAACTTCTTAACAAATAACCATGTGATGGTGATGATTGTGACTTGGAGAATTCTTTTGATTGTGAATGTTTATATTATTAGATTGTTGTGAATTGAAAACCACCTTGAGGGAATAAAGATTTGGAAATTTATGCATCATATGCATTTATAAATATACTTTGTGACTTTAAATGTTAATGTTTGGAAAGTGTTGGAATGGGGTAAATAGAGTATGAGTCCAGGTTGTGAGTTAGGTTTTGATTTAAGTGGTGTATTGTATATCGGTACCCGCGTAGGGAGTCAATGTGCCTAATTGCCCTGTCTTGTGCATATCACCAGACGAATGTAGGAAAAGTTTTAGGATGTCCATGAGCCTCCATTGTTAAAGTCAGCAAATGTGGAAAACAAGATTTTTGGTGTCCACGAGTCCGCCGTTTCTGGAGTGGCCAAATGTGGAATAAAAATGTCTTGGGTGTCCACCGCCCCGCCGTTTTAGAGTTGTCAAATATGAGGCTACTTAATACAAATCATTCTATATATACATGTGTGTGGTGTTGAGACTCTAGCTTGGGAAGTCCTAGCTTATTTACACCCCATGTTTGGTTGATATTTGTTATTAGCATTTCACAGTTTAACATTATGGTTTTCAAAAGAAAGATATTTGCATTTGCTCATTTCTTGCATGTCATGATCATATATACTTCAATTAATTATATAACTTATTAATGGTATTTCCTACTAGGCAATTGCTCACCCTAAATTTAGCAACCTTTCAGGAGATGAAGCTGGGATGATACCAAAGTGATTGGCATTGAGATACATTTTTTGATGGGAGCACAGAGGCTCCTTTATGTGATATATGTTGAAGCCTTGGACTATTTTTGTATTGGTAACAAAATTTCATTTTGTGTATTCAAGGGCACTCCCTGAAAAGATGTTTGCCTCAAGGCATTTATATTTTATATTATCTCTTACTCTTTGAACTCTTAATATTACTTAATGAATGTAATTGAACAATGATGTAACCATTTAAATAATTCAATGGGGAAGAGATTATTTCTGATGCCTGGGATATATATATATATATATGTTCTATAATGTCTTGGTATCTTTTTAAAGAAATCAAATTATTATTGAAGTAACACCGTAATTAATGGTTATATCATCGGAGCGTTATGATTTAGACTTTTTATAGGAGCATGTCCTTATAGGCAAAATATTTTAGAGTATGGACTTTTAAATTTGAATTTATAGACCGAGTGTCCTTTTTTTAATAGTTAGAGAGAAAGGGAGGTCCAAACCCAAAACTTAACCCATATCCACGATAATGTCTAGCTTGGGCAACCCAAAACTTCATATTTAATACGTACCACTATTCCAAACTAATCCGACCCGACAACCATATAGGTACTAGTGTGTTGGGGGTGTTTATAGGTCCGTTTGACACTCAAAACCAATGCAATTTAACCTAGTATAGCTTGGATTGATTTAGGTTAGAACACGATTCCACTATATATAAATATAAGTAAATTAATTAATAATATATAAAATCCAATAAACTAGTTTTTCTTTTCTTTTTTTTTTTTTTCCAAAACAAGCCTGTATTTGGCTTTTTTTCCCAAATTATTTTTTTACATATGGGTTTGTGGGTTAAGGTCGGGTCATATAATTATACAGTTATACAGTCGTTGCCCTACCCGGAACCGACCCGGGAACGAATTCCCGTCTTTGTCCCAAAACCTCCGAAAACGAAAACCCTAGCTTCTCTCATCATCCTTCAGACTGTGTTCTTCTAGAGAGAGAGAATGAAGGTGCCGCGGGAGGAGAAAGAGATGAAGCCCAAAAAGAAAGAAGAGAATGTAACAAACATAGAAATAGATGACAAAGAAGATGATGCTGATGATGCTCAGGAAATTCATTCTGGTTCCGATTACGATGATGATTATAATGATGAGGTACTTATTATTGCCTTGTTTCTTTGTTTGGTTACTCGGAAAATGTAGGAAATTTGAAAATCAAAACTGAAGCCTCTTAATTCTCCTTTGATAGCAAAACTTAGTGAAACGTAATAGTTTCAATTCAGTTAATTTTGTTATATTCTCTCTCTCTCTCTCTCTCTCTCTCTCTGTACATATATCTTGTTTATGTGCATGGTGGTTCAACTTTAGCTGCAAAAGCACAGATTCCTAGCCCTGAATTTGGGACTTGGAGGTTATCTCAGTAGAATTTTTGAACTAAGATAGATTACAATGCCGATGTCGATGCCGATGCGGTGTACTTTTTTGCTTTTTTAGGAAAAAAAAGAACTCTAATATGTTTAAAGATTCATTTTTTGGGTGTTCAATGATTTAGTTTATGTGGTTCTAGGATTTGGATGAGGATGAGGGCACTTTGACAGAATCAGGATCGGAACAGAGTGAATTCTCCGAAAATGAGGTACGCAGTAATTCCACCATTTTTTAAATATCATGAAAAAAGTTACTTCTTCTATTCTAGTTTATGATGATGGGGGGGTTTTATTTTTGGGCCTTTTTTTTGTAGTTCTTAATGGTTTTAATGGTGATTATAGCAGGAGATAGTTAAT